TCCGACATGGCTTCCACCACCGTCCACTCCGGGAGTTTCCACACGACGGAACTATACGCACCGCCGCTGCGCTTCACCCGCGCAGATCCGTCGAAACTCACATCCCAGAGGTTCTCGTCTGGTTCGATCGTTGGTGGAGGCATGGTAATCATTTTCCGCGGCTGTTTCTTGGGTGCTATCGGGACCAAGGCTTCGTCGACATCGGCTCGGGGGGTGATGCTCGCTGCGATTGTTCCAAGGATTTCGTCTTCACCCTTCACGCATTTGGTGACTTCCAACGTCCATCCTGATAGCAGCGCTGCCCACCTACCCAGTCGACCGTCGAATCCGTTCGACTTGAGCAGCCAGGCCAATGTCGAGAATCGCGACAAGACCTTGATCGATCTGGTAACCAGCTGCGAGTAACAGACATCCAAGATTCGCAGAAGCGCCAATACTTCCTTGTCCACCACTCCATAGATAGTTGAGCTCGTTTGGCTTCAACGTACGACTGGTGAAGGTCACCGGATGGTACACACCTTCGTGCTCTTGCATCAGCGCCGCTGATATGGCCCACTTGTCCGCGTAGATCACAACCACAGGAGTACGTTCCGGGTCGAAGTGCTTCAGGACAGGCGTGGCAATGATCTTCGCCTTCAGCATGGTGAATGCGTTCTTCGCCCGCGCCCACCTATCGCGTTCGCCCCCAGTCACTTGACTATCTTCGGCCAGCGTCTCCTCTGCGTCCATCCTAGCGATCTCATGGAAGTCTGCTTCCCGCAGCTCGTACAGGATCGCGGCATAGACTGCGAAGTCCTCAATGAAGCGGCTGTAATAGTTCAAGCTTCCGAGGAACGACTGCATCGCCTTCAACTTGGTGGGGAACGGAAGGTTCGCAATTGCGTCTAGCTCCTTTGGTTTCGCTTCAAGCCCAGCTGAGGATACTTCGTGTCCTAGATACGCCACCTTGCGTCGACCCCAGTAGCTCTTCGCTACGCTGATCGATAAGTTCCATCGATCACAGACGTCGGGCAGTTTGTCGACACGGTTGCACATGCTATCCCACGAGTCGCCCGTC